AGGAAAAGATTGTTGCCCATTGCTGTGCTTCACATGGCACCTAGTGCATAACCCATTTCTAAGAATTTGGGAAGTTTATTCTAGAAATGTGCTTGAATGATGAATCCTTACCAGTTCCTTATGGCAGTTCTGAAAAGTAAATATTTGGTTTCCATTTGAAGTACATATTTATTATTGGTCTGAGATTTTTCCCTTCAATCACTTTTGTAAGATTTTGCAAATTTTCTTTAATTTTTTGCCATGCAATGCATGACAGAGTAATGATTCCATCATATTACGGGAATAAGAACCCACACAAAGTGTACATTTGTCATCTCCTGTATAAATACTATTTTTTTCTGGGAATTCTAGCTGGGTCATTTTAAAACTTGCTTGTCGTCCCCCCCACCCTCTCAAATAAAAAAAACCTCTCCCCCTTGTGAAAGTCTGTTGCCTTTAAAGCAGATGTTAATGCATTAAACTGCCTCGCAATGTAAATACACAACCGTACTCTATTGAAACTTATCTTTTCAGGAGGTGCACTCTTCTAAATAAAAGTGCCTTTTGAAGATTTCTGAAAGTACGTTAAGATTGTGGATTTGTGCTTTTTAATTTTAACGGTTAAAATGAAATTGACAATCCTCAAAGGAAATTAATCTCATACACATTATGTGCATCTTTTTTTATCCATGTTGTGCAAATTTGTTAATATGCTGTTTCTCCAAAGATTTTTGTTGCACTTTAGGCGTCTGAAACCTGATGCAGTGACTAAAAGAATATTGGGTATTTTTATGTTCACCGAAGATATCTTGTCTCTTGACAGTGACGGAATGATTTCAGTGTCTTATGGTATTGGTACACAAAGGCAATTTCATTTAAAAACAAGCTGTTTAAAATTCAGGATTCCTGTTTAAACCACTAAAAGGAAGAAAATTCATTATTAAGTCTAACATGGAGTTCTTTACTCACCCTGTTTTACTGTGTTGGGTAATGCCATTAGGTAACGCACCACATTGGATGTAGAAAAATTATCCATGCAATTTCTGAGCTGAAGCAAGTGTTTTAGAATAAAAAAATCGAACTCTGGATCTTCTTTCTTACTTCAGGCCCTTGCCTTGCAATTGAACAGGTGGACCCTTACATCTTCAACAGTCAGTGGGGATCTGTATGAGCCGAAGGGGCTGTTCACATTGATCTAATTGCAACACCATGTCATTGTTTTGCATGTTAACTCTCTAATGCTTTTTCAGTTTTTGCGTGTTAGCAAAGAATGAGAACCACAGCAAGAAACGGATTAATTTAGTGGCCTCATGATTTTTTGGGGGCGGCAGGGGGAAGATTGGTGATTTTTTTTTTTCCTTCTCCTTGAGTTTGTTAGATTGTTCTTCACTCTCTCATTTGCACTTTAACAAATTAATAGTTTACTTATCCCCTGTTATATTTTTGTGGTAGTTGAAATGCTTTATGCAAGTTGCAGTTGTCAACCACAAGGGGGCAGGAAGCACTATTCAATTATTATCTAAAAACACCATTCAGTGTTTTCAAATTAGCTTCTCGTATATTAACAAAAAGGAGTATAATGGCCAAGTTATTGTTTGATTTACAGATAATTGGCATATTGCAGGAAGGAGACTTAATTTCACCCTTTTAAATTAAACAGGGAGATTTAAAAAGACATAAAATATTCATTAATGTTCAGTGATTATAAAGCAGTGGCATATATTTATTCTACCTTTATTACTGTTTCGATGGGAAAATACTGCAAATATTTCAGAAATCGAGTTGGCCATACTGACAAGTTGAAATGTTTAAGCAGTGTTAATGCAATCTACTCACACCTTTATATCCTATGCAGAAAGATTCAAAATGACTATATCAATTATTAAAAGAAATATTTAAAATTCTAGAAATGTTCCGTCGCTTGCCACAGTTGGATGCAACTGTCTCTCCAGGGCCAGTTGTTTGGGTTGTTAAATATATTTGAATGCTGCTGACTTTAAAGGGATAAATGTGTCTCTCTTCCCCGGACTATTTTTTAAATAACAGTTTTAAAACTGTTGTGAATATTTTGCAGAGAGTTAAATCTGTCATGTTAACTGTCATCCTTTATGATTACTACTTCAGTTTTAGCTCTGTGCTTTTCTTTTAGACTGTATCTTAAAAATATCTAATAATTGGAGAATGGTTATTACAAGAATGCTTGCTATTTTACATACGTATTGCCCTACTAGAAATAATTGGGCAGATAATTTTACAATGGATGGATTTAAGCCCCCAGAGTTCAGGTCTGGAACCATATTCTCTCCCTTCTTTATATCCTGTATTTATCTCCAGCTTTTTGTACAGAAACATCTAGATGATAATTTATGGTTTTAACTGAATATGGCTGTTAGTACTGTTTAAAAACAGAATAAAAATTGGAATTGAAACTGTCTTTTTAGATGTGTGGGATTTGGGTGTGCATGTGAGAGAGAGAAAGGGGGAGGAGAGTTATTAACTCAGAAACTTAATGATACCAAGTTGGTCTAAATTGCAAATTAATTTGTCACAGGTTTCAAACATCTGTTTGTTCTTTTAAAATTGCTCTATTAAATTAGTCTTGACCAGATAGTGTATCAAGAAAACTCTTGATTGTTTTTTTTCCTCCCTATAATCTTAATTTTCATGCAGAAATTAGCAATGTTTTGCTCAGTCTATTTGGAGGCTCTAAATTCCTAATTTTTTAAATGAAAAGCCAGTGTTTTATATAGCAAACTGTTTTAGAAAGGGTGGTGAGAATTTTGTATGTCCAAGAGAAATTGTTAATTTGAGAGTTTGAACATTTTTGCATTGCTATGATAACTTGCATATGTCAGCAGCAGTTGGAAATTGAAGAGGTGTGAATATCCTTTGAATCTTGGAGCTATAAACAGGACTGTAGTTAGATGTGTGGGAATGACTAAGAATGGACTAATTATTGTAAGACATTACTGTGTTCAACATAGCTTGTTTTAGTGTCCATCCCCTTGAGCCTATTTTCTTTTTATTTGGGAAAAAAAGCTGCTTAATTCACTTTTCCAAACATTTAAGCTGATCTTTCCCTGTATATCTTCATTAATGGGCATGCTGTTCAAGGGAGAGGAAAGGGTTTTTTTTTATTTCTTTAGGAAAGGAGAGAGGTTGAAAACTTGTTCTAAAAAGCGACTTTGTACTCTCATCCCAATGAGGAACAGCCTAGCTAGGGTTAATAAATGAATGCTGCCTTAATTATTGTGACAAACTTTCTGATTCTGGTACTGTTTCTGTCACAAACAATAAAATACACATGTGTTCAATGTAGTTTAAGTTCAGCTGAATAGAAAAATAACTTATTCATAACATTTTAACTATCCTGAGGCTTGCATTAAAAAGTATAACCGTTCCTATTTACCTATCGTATAGACTGTATTTGGCTTTGAAAGACTTGTTTGAGATTCCTTGTGTGCAAGGCGAGGGAAGAAGCACCCAGTGTACACAAGCTGCAGCTGTTAAAGGGTGAAAAAAGTAAAATGTGCAGAAACCTAAAGTCTTCCTGAAAATGGATCTGTTCTTTTGCTTTTCTGCTACTGGAAATGCCAGGCAAAACATATGTACCAGGCATTTTGATTCCTGGTAGAACATGAGATATACACATAGAATGCAAAGAGGTAACTATCTTCCCAAACTGAAGCTGCCTTTGCAGAGCTGTAGCTGCCCCTTCATCAAGTCCTTTGGCCAGCAGGCTAATGTGAGTGAAGAGAGCTGGTTAGTGTTTTTAGCACCTGTGATAAGGTAGCCTTTTTTTTTGGTTCCCAATGATTTAATGTTTAAGGTAGCATATGGGAAGGTGCGGAGGTAAGACTTATTATATGGAGTTTTGATGGCATAGTATATGCTATAGTCATCATAAGCCATCCCTGGTAGTCCCACACTATTGTTTCTAATCTTAATTGCATACTAGCAGTGTTTCAGGTTTATTAATTTAAACTAGTATAGGTAATATACAGAGGATCTGGAACACAATTTTCTATACAGTTGTTGCATTATATAACTTATCATCCACCACTTGAGCCCTTTTTGAATGGATAGACTACAATTAGATTTATCATAGTTATTAATATTTTAACATGTATACACTGTCATTGGTATTGTCATATTTTTCTGTAGTACACTTTGTTTTCATGTTTTGGTAGGTAGGTTTTATGGCTAAAAATATAATTGTATTCAGAGTGAGCCACTTACATAGTTTAAAGACTACGTTGTGTCCCATTTCTTTTTTAATTTTGGTAAATGGATGGATAGATGGATGTCATTTAGGCATTAAAAATATACATAAAATATACAGAGAGACCTCGTATAAGAGATCTAGCTAACGGTAAGAAATAAATGTAGGCATACAAGTGGATTC